AGAAATGATTGCCTCCTTCGCGGGCAACCATTTAGACTGTGTTGTTCGGCCCATGGGGGGCCATGGGTCACATTTTGATAATTTGAACCGTTCAATATGTAAAACTCGTTGAGTACTATATGCCTATAAAAAATCACGTTGATCGGATATCGCTAACTATATGATCAAATCAGTTTTGTATAAAAAAAAGATGGTGTTATAGTTAACTGGTGAACAAAAACTAATCCGATCAATGTGATTTTTTACAGGTATATAGTACTCGACGAGTTCTACATATTGACAGTTCAGATTATCAAAATAGGACTTGTGGTGGGCCCCACGGGCCGAACAACACAGACCAAATGGTTGCCCACGAAGCAGGCAATCATGTCCTTATCTCCTACACTCTGCCTAGAAAAAGGTGTCGTACAGCCTATTACACTTACTTCTCCTATACACTTATTTATACAATTTTTTATTACACATTTTTTCGTAAAAAGACAAAAAGTTAACCCAAACATTCATCTTTTTTTCCTCAACTTTTTAGTCCAAAAAGACAAAAAGTGCACTTATTTAGGACACCTCAAACAACCCCTAAGTCTAATTACCCTTCGGGGCTGATATTGGGTGCTATACTATGACCTGTCTTTGGGCCTTTTCTATGTTGCCATGTATCACACCTAGATTCAGTGGTTGGGCATGACTCTAGTCATTGATCATGTTGCTCTACTTGTAATATTGTAAGAATAAGAGTTTATTTGAGATTCACTTGTGTTCTATAGGTGCTTTGTAAATCATATCCATCGGAGTTCATATCATATTTCCACTATTGCCGATCGTTACGATTTGAAGACAAACCAGATTATTCATATTTGAAGAGGCTTTTTCGAGACTTATTTATTCGAGAAGGTAAATGAATACTACAAATATTCCTTTCACTTAAGTAACAAAATTATTATACAAAGCTAGAAAGCAGTAAATTATTTGTTCAAGTTCTTGATAGAGAATTAGCAATGACTCCTGTAGTTTTGAATGAGGTCCATCCATATATATATACACTGAAGCCTTAAATAACCGCCACCCACTTTGGAAAACATAAGATGATCCTTTGTTCACTATGTTCTGGATATAAAATGCTGGGTGCAAAACTAGATTTCATTTATCTAAGTCGGATAGAGAGGGGGATTTTTAGAGAAAAAAGAAGAAAAAGATTTTTTTGAAAAAAAAGGGCAACAAAACCCCGGGGGGTGGGGGGGGGGGGGGGGGAGGGGTGTGGTGGTGGTGGTGGTGGTGCAGGTGGTGATTGGAGGGGGTCTTAATCACTTCCGCAAGGTTAATTCATATGATATTTAACTTGAACAAGGGAGCCATTGTTTGCACCAAGTTTTGCCAATCTCTGTCGACAGATGGTCCACTTAATCGAGGACACATGGCCAAGTCTGAAGGAATGTCCACCACTTGAAAGTGTGCTCTCTACATGTGGGTCACCTAGAAGTGATGGGGGAAGTTTTTAGCACCAGTCATAGAGTTAGTGGGCATACTTTCAGGAGGAAGCATGAGACAAAACAGGAGCCTTGCTCTGTCGATAGAAGTTTCAAACAGTTGATGGCCATGAAATAAACACAAGAAAAGGGAGATCGACAAATAGAAGTGGAGGTTTAGCATACCTGGAAAGCCTAGAAGGGAGATCGTTGTTTTCGATATCCGTATACTATTTTTGTGGCCCATCTTTGCATGATCCCATACGTCTACACCATAACTGCCACTGTAACTACCCCCTGACTTTGAATCTTCAAGTCCCCTCTGCCAAATATTGACTCTTCCCTATCGACCTTTCTTTTCACCATTGTGGGGCATGTCCCTCATCATTATGAGACAAAAATCGATAGAATATTGTCCACTAAACACAACCACAATCCTTGCAAACTGGGCCACTAAACCACAACACTTGGCCACTCACTGTTACTGCCCCTGACTTTCAATCATCAAACTCTGCCAAATATTGAATTTTCCCTATAATTTAATCAAAATATATTCAATGTCGGTAAACTTGTTAATATTTTGAATAACCTTTTTCTGGATTGTAATGACTTAAACACAATTGTTGTCCTACATTTTACGTAACCAAAATACATAACTTATTTATATTGAAAACAAAATATACATCTCAGGTTTATAATCATAACAATGGAAACTACTTTTTTTTTAAAAAAAAGTTCACTCATATTTTCAGCTAAATTATGATTGGTTATTTTTTAAAAATTCCTCTTTGCACCTTATTTTTCCCACATCCTGCCAACAGCTAATCCATTCAATTGAGGACACATAGCAAGTCCACCTGAAGACAAGTTTTATCAACTAACATTGAATCTTGCTTGCCACCTGACTTACACAGCGGAGCAGTTACTGGCAGTGCTCATGGATTTAGTGGCCAGCCTCCAAGAGGAAACATGAACGAATTGGGAGTCTGTGTATCTGTCGAGGAAAGGCTAAAAGGACTTGGGCACAGGTGGCAACTTCCATTATGTGCACTTCGACAGGTACAAGTGAAGGTTTTATGTGGTTTCAAGACACGGAAATGACCGTGCAGTTACAGAAGTTACACAGAAGCAGTTGCAGAATAGGCAGATCATGGGGTCGTGGGAAATAATAGCTATAAAGGGAAGAATGTTTGCACAGAGAGAGGACATGAACAACAACACAACAACCTACTTTTTATATTATAACTTCTGAGTAGTTTCTTCCCTTCTACTTTCTACTTTGTTACAAACAATACAACGACACAATAACTTACTTTCTATTTTCTACTTTGTTACCATCAGTTCATCGAAAGAAGTCTTCATCCTTTTCAGGCATTCGAACCAATACCGCAATTGCTTGATTTTCTTCTTTAACTTGTCAACTTTAAATTACTGCTTCGTTGCTGTCAATATAGGCCTACCATAATTTTACTAACAATAAACCCATCACTTTCATAGTTAACATGAAATAATTTCACAACTCTTGTTCGTAACTCGTAATTCATATACCAATCGGCATGAAGATAAAGTAACAAGTTCGTTGGGTTACTTTCTCCAAGTAACACCCAAAATTAACTGCCACTTGGATTATATACAAAATGCATGTGCTGAGATGTAATGTTGTAAACCCACATGGACAAAATTCGTATTTTACTCGAAATATAATACTAATTTACCGAAACAAGTCATAACAAATCAATACGAAGCCAAACACATCATTAGTTGCTAAACCACACCGCAAAAAACCCTTCAGTTAGATCCAACCAAATATGGAACAGAAACAAGCAACCCGCAATAGGAATCTTGGAATACAGACATAAGCCAATTTCCAACACAAAACAATACACAGACAACCCATATATATCTCACCTTCAATTAGTTTTCAAAATGACAAGTCACTGCAAACACAAATGACAATATCACTCTTAACAATATGGGAAATTTATAACTCGTGGCCTTGTACATAAGTAACGTTGTGCTATTTCCTGGCATTGTACGTAACCAATTATTTACACGTTACGTACAACAGTCCGTGCAAAATGAAAACTACATACATTATTTACATTTGTTTTAAGGGAATAAGTAGTACTATCTACCTAATAAATTAAGGGAATAAGTAAATCATACAATTTATAAAATTACCTGATTCACCTCATCAATTGTGGTCGAATCATTTTTGCACACTGCTGCTTCAACACTACCGTATTGCCCCACAGGCTGCTTGGAATCAGGAGAAGCATCGAAAAATAGTCGCCGTTGTTTAATGTGCGGTGTACTTGGATCCACCAACCCAGTTTTGCAGCGAACGGGCAATGACTCCGCATTGTACTCACGGTTAGTTATGTGGGTTGTATATGCATCTGAGTTATTACCCACTGTTCGACTAAACCGAACATTAGGACACGTTCGCTTTGTGTGCCCAATGCATTTGCAATTCCCACATTTTCTTGGTCTTCGACAGTTGGACAACGCCCGTCCCGGGTTCCCTTTTGTTTTCACAACATCAGAATCTTCTACTCCAAATTGTCAAGGGAATGAATGTTTCCCTTTGTCTCCATTCCCATCATTCAGATTCCTCTCATATAACTACTTCATCCGGCTCGTCATCGGAAGACATGCATCCCTAGCCTCTTTGAAACCTTCCGTTGATTGTGAGGCATAGAAACACATTTCATTGTAGGAAGAACTCAATATCCCATACCGGGCCGTTTGTGTTGTAGTGCTATTAATTGAGGGTTGAGGCCATTGCTGGCCATCCTTGCTTACAGCCCTTGTCCATCTATGCAGCACACAAGTTGGGGGAATTTGCGTTAAATTTTCAGCTTTCATAACACATATCATGTGGCAGCAAGGTAGCCCCAACGACTCAAACTTCATGCAAGAACATCTCATTGCAGCATCCACTGGACTGTGTGTTACTATCCATGATCTATCCTTCATTTTGTACGTATGAATATAGAAGCATTTCTGACCATCTGGCAAAGGGAACACGTCCTTGACATTCAACTTCCCCTCTTATAAGATTTCATCACGGAACATTCTAAATATATTTCGGGTGAATAGCTCAGCTCCATGTCTCTTTATATCTCGCAATGGAGTAATCAATACCGGAAAAGTGTTATTTGTTTCAGCATCATCTCCAGCCTCGTTATACCTTATCCTTGCAAGTGCCCGATCATAGTGCCTAACAAATTCATATAGCTTCAATTTGTGTTGGAGGAAGGCATTGAAATAAGCATTCATATTCTCCGAGCGTTGAGTGCTCATCATCCCAGCAAAGAAATGTCCACGCATATATGCCTCAACCCACATATGACGCTTCTCATATGTCTCCAACACCCAACTGTTGGTTTGAAGTCCAAATTTTTTGACCATTGTCGTCCAGCCATGCTCAAACTTTGTCTCATCCATTTCCATGTCCATGCACTGCTTGAAAGCATGTGCAAAGCCACTTTTGTGAACATTTGAAACAACATTTTTCCCAAGATGCCAATTACATAATCAATGTCTTGCATCTGGAAATACTCTTTTGATTGCCTCTCGCATCGCCTTATCCCCATCTGTCAGTACAGACACAAGTGCTTTATTGCCTATCTCATCCATAAATGTTTCCAAAACCCATGTGTATGTATCAATTGTTTCATTAGCTAGCAAAACACATGCAAATATCGTGGTCCTAAAGTGGCTAGTCACACCAACCAACATGACAAAGGGTTTCTTGTATGCATTGGTTCTGTAAGTTGAGTCAAATATCGCCTTATCCCCATCTGTCAGTATGGACACAGGTGCTTTATTGCCCATCTCCTCCATAAATGTTTCCAAAACCCATGTGTATGTATCAATTGTCTCATTAGCTAGCAAAACACATGCAAATATCGTGGTCCTAAAGTGGCTAGTCACACCAACCAACATGACAAAGGGTTTCTTGTATGCATTGGTTCTGTAAGTTGAGTCAAATATCAACACATCACCAAACTTTGTGTAGTCGCCTGCGATTTCAAATCTACCCAAAACAAATTTTGTAACTTGTTATCATTACACACATCATACTTGTAAAAAAATAGTGCATCAACATCAAGTTTTGCACATAGGTAAACCAACGCACCCTGCGCATCACCATCCTTAACTTCTGCTCTACATTTGGCTTGAATATGGTTGTGCAGATCCGTACGGATGAAACCAACATTCTCATAAGACCTGGATTGATTTACTATATAGTCCATGATTCGGCTAGTCTTCACACCGACGTTGCGCATAGCCATTGCTTGAGCTTTGTCAGCACTATTTAAACTGCGATGTGACCTCAGATACATCACACAGTGTTGTTCCACCAATTCATGGTTGTGGTCTGCGACGAAGTGAGTCACAACATACTTTCCCCCTTCACCAGCATCTGCATCGTACCGTATGCGAAATTGGGCTTTGCAACCTACTCTTGTTAGTGCCTTGGGAGCTCTACTCTTCTCAGCAACACAGTCCAAGTATTTTGGTAATCTCTGACCTTCCCTTGAACACAACCACAGCCTACTAATAACCTTTCCCTCTTTATTTGTGTTAAATTCGGATTTTCATATACTAAATCCCTTGGCTTTAGCATACGCATTGTAGAAAGCTTCTCCATCTTCGACCGAATCAAATTTTTGTTCCAGAATAGCACGTTCAACATCACCAACCATGTCATTGCAATGAGCATCGTCAACCATTTCTTTTTTCACATCAGCTCCGCCATCTTCAACGTTCATGCTGGTTGTTTTTTCATTGCTTGGACCAACTTCGCAACCATGATAAGGTTCCGCCCGACTTTCATTCATCAAACGAATGTCATCTGCTTCATTTGGAATGTCATAATCACCACCTTCCCTTTTAACTTCCGCTGGGGCCATACTGCACATGACATTAGTGCAAACAATTACTTTATGACCGAAAAATGTTAACACAAATACAAACATGACATTTTCACACGGTTTAGTTGTTTGTGCAAACACAAACACTCGCTTCAGAGAGAGAAAGGTTAGTTGCCAATGGAGGGGTTTCCGTTTGAGCGAAGCGTAGAGCGGTTGAAGTTAGAATGGGGGTTTAGTTGAGGGAAAATAGCTGAAGTGAAGAGGCCAGAGAGAGAGGGGGAGACAGCTCCATACCTCATATCTAGTTGGAGAGAACTGCTTCACTTCAGCAATGGAACCAACACAGCCTTGTAGTTCCGTTGTTGTTGGAAATCGCTCGTTATACTGTTCCCTACAGAGCTTCGTCAATGGAACCAACCCAGCACGGGCTTCTCGTTGTTAATGGAAATCAAGGGTTACACTGACTCAACCTTACACAGAGAGGAGAACAGAGAGAGATAGAGAAGAAATACAGAGAGTGAGTGTGATGCAATCATGCAAATGACAGCATTAACCGGTTGCCCTGGTTTTAACTTTTTCACGATTAAACAATTCAATGGTCTTGATCAATTATTGTAATCTAACGGCTAACAATTGGGCTGCATATGGTGTGCAACCTTAAGAGGGTTGCACACTTAAACAGCTCCCTAGTTATTTAGTTAAATGATAGCAAGTTCGTTATACCAAAACTTCTATGCTTTCCTTATATGCATGGAGATTTCCTTCTTGGAAATAATTTTATATATAAATATCTTCAAATGCAAATATAGGAAAAAGTTATTTCATTAAGCATAAACAATGTCTTAATTCATATTCCCTTATTAGAACAATATAAATATATTTATGATAAAGAGCTTGTACCCATTCCGCGTGGTGATTTAACTCCCATCATCAAAACTATTGATGAATCACATTGGATTTATAAAATTCTGGAAGAAAATTTTAGCAAACATCCATTAAAACTATGGCAACATAGTCCGTGTTATTGTAGTTTGAAATTAAAAGATCCTAATGTTATCATTAGAGTAAGGCCAATGATTTATACTAAACAAGACATAAATGAATTTGGTATTCAACTCCAGGAACTTTTAGATAAAAAGTTAATTGAAGAAACTAGAACCCTCACTCTAGTCCAGCTTTTATGGTAAGAAATCATACTGAAATTAAAAGTGGAAAAGCCCGAATGATAGTTAACTATAAATGGCTAAATGAAAATTTAGAATTTGATGAATATTTTATTCCACAAAAAAATGTTTTGATTAACTTAACTAAAAGATCAAAAATCTTTAGCAAAATTTGATTGTAAGAGTGGATTTTGGCAAATTAAATTGACTGAAGAGTCAAAAAAAATTGACAGCTTTCATTACACCTAGAGGACATTACCACTGGAATGTTATGCCTTTTGGATTAAATATAGCACCACAAGTATTTCAACAGTGGATAGATACAATTTTTAAAGATATTAAAGATTGTTATGTAGTATATATTGATGATATACTTATCTTTTCTAAAACTAAGGAGGAGCATAAGAAACACTTAAAATTACTTTGTGAAAAATTCTAAAAACATGGAATTATTTTATCACCAAAAAAGATTGAACTAGAAAAAAAATCAATTGAATTTTTGGGAATAATTCTAGACCAGAAAGGTTTAAAATAACAAGATCATATTTTGTCCAATGTACGAGATTTTCCTGATACTCTTGAAAATATAACACAATTACAGAGTTTATTAGGAATTTTAAATTATGGATGAAATTTTATCAAAAATATTTCAAAAATAGAAATTCCTTAATTAACCAAATTAAGAAAAAAAATGTTATTTTTTAGTGGACAGTAGAAGATGTTGCTTTAATTAAACAAATTAAAAAAAATGTTAAAACTTTACCAGATATTTATCTTCCTAAAACAGGCAATAAATTAATTTTAGAAATAGATGCCTCAGAAGCATGCTGGGGATGTGTTCAGCAATACCAAGTAACTTATGGCATGATAAAGAAATGCCTTTATCAGAAAATGAGATTAAACTAAGAAAAAAATTCAATACCCATAAAATTACAAAAAGAAGAATTAATTTGTGGATATAATTTTAGAACATTTAAAGCAAATGAACAGAAATATATATTTTTGAAAAAGAATTACTTGCAATAAAATTAGTAATAAAAATTTTTCATATTTATTTAGCCCTAGAAAATTTTATTGTACGCACTGATAATAAGGCAATAAGAGATTTCTTTATCAATAAAAAACCTATTGAGTAAGGAAGAAGATTAGCCTGGTATAATAAAATTTCTGAATATACTTTTGAGGTAGAACATCTTAAAGGTACTAACAATTTTTTTGTAGATTTTCTTAGTAGAAATTGTTTTAGAAAATTAAATTACTAAACAAGTAATTTTAATTTTTGCAGAAGACCTCTAGACCAAGAAGAAAAAAATGGACAAGGGTAAAAAACCCGCTCAAGGAGATTAGGTGACAATTGCTAAACAAGCAATTCCCAAACAAGAAAAAGTTTATATTGTGTTTGCAAGAAGACAACCTGGAATTTACACAGAATGGAATGATTACAAGACGCAAGGTTGAGGATTTTTAGGAGCAAGCTATAAATCCTATGATAGCATGACCAAAGTAAAAAAAAAAAAAAAAAACTTTTTACAGTGCACCAGCTATGCCTATTTATCAAAATAATTTTTGTCTAATGAGAACTAATCCAATTCCAACTAATATTCAGACATCTAAACCAAATGAATTTGAGATGAATTTGAAATAAAATATTTTTTCAACCCTGGTATATCCAGAGAAATTTATACAGAACTCAATGGAGTTTGAAAAACTCACATTGTAGATAACAAAGTGAAATTTTGAAAACACATGGGAGTTCTGGCCAACAAATTAGCTGAGCAAATAGCTAAATTAAAATATTTGCAAAATCTTTGTTTTAATATCCCTAAACAAATGAATTGGAATGAAGATTTTAATTTTGAAAAAATATACAATTTTTTTCAGCTATCAGACCTCATATGTCGCGACCCAAACCCGCCCCTAAGGGTTTAGTATCGTAACCGGCCAGTAATCCGTGATTATCAAAGGCCTGCTTAACAGTGATGACAATAATACAATATAAAGGGGCTAGCAGAAGCCAATTAGTAATAAAAAGATGTCCAATGAGCTGTGAAAACCTGAATGAGAAAATACTTCCATTGACAAAACCACATTAATAACCATATATATATATATATGTATAAACATCTCAGATACACATAGCATACAGGTTAGGGACCTATTCCCTTCACCATTAATGTATAGTCAAGTCTTAAACATTCATTACATAGCGGAGACAAAACGGTGAATCTAAAACACCCCAAAAATAGCCTTGGCTCGAGTAGACTCGGAACCTCAAAGTGAGGCACAATGGTTGGCTTGACAAAACATGAGCTTAATTCAACGCTTCTAGCTTTGGTCCGGTGCCTGGCCACCTACATACATATATATAAACAGTGAGTTAAAGCCCAGTGAATAACAAATGTGTAAAGAGGTTAAGAATGAATGTCCTTTCAGTAATTGAAACAGTCATTTGCATCATTAAATTGGTTATTCAATCAGTGACTCATATTTCAAGTCATATCAGTCATTTAGGAATCATAGCTGTCATACGTGGTACATCCAATAGCAGAACAGTACAGTAGGTCTTAATAGACAGAACAGTCAACTGGTGGCCATCAAAACAGTAAACAGTAGTAGTTCCAAACATTGGAACTGACAGAGATCTCTATAACAGTAGTAGTAACAGTAACAGTAATAGTAGCAGTAACAGTCAATTGCTATGGATGCCACGAGTACAGTTCGTAAAATAGGACAAGCATTCATTTAGTAAACAATATCATTTCAGAAAGCAGTACAATTAATCATTCAGAAAATAATTGTAATTGAACATAGCTTTACAACATTGTTACTCACAGATTTCTAGGCTATAGGCAGGCTAATCAGCGTCCTTGGGTGCCAAACCTACACAGTCACAGAACGAACGCACACTAAATTACACACTCGGGATTAATAACTTAGCCTTTGCTCGCTTTGGTGTGGTTCTATAACATTATCCTCATTATGATGCCTTAAACATGGCCTAGGAATGCCTAGGATAGAATAAGGATGCAAAAATGTACTTAAAAACATTGTTCAAAACTTGTTGAAAACAGGGGTCTCACTCAAGCGTAGACTCCTTCGCTCGAGCGAGCTTTCCGAATGAGAGAGGTTGCTCAAGCGTAGACTCCCTCGCTTGAGCGATCTGCAAAAATGTGGAAAGTACTGGTTGCTAAAATTCTCTACTCAATGCTCGCTCGAGCGTGAGACACAGTTCTTTGCTCGAGCGTAGGTCTCGTCGCTCGAGCATGCATTTCCACACGCAAAAACCTGAGAGCTTGCAATTTACGCTCAAGCCAGCATTCCGTCGCTCGAGCGAAATTCTAAAAACAAAGGTGGTCGCTCGAGCATGGAATCCTTCGCTCGAGCGAGGAAGCCAAATTCTGGGTTTTCCAGATTTGCTCCCAAGCTTCAAACCATGAATCAAACATGCCAAAACTCATTCTTTTGGGCCAAATTTCTGGAAAATACTTAGAAACTCATAACACAACATGTTTTGAAGATCATTACATAAAATCAAAGCCCAAAGGTATGCCAATTGAACACAATTTCAATGTAAGTTTTATGAACAATGCAAGAACACAACATGCACGAAGTTTCTTGATCTTGAGCTTCTCAAACCATGATCATGTGCAACATTCAACTCAAAACATGGTGAATTCTTGGATTTTAACTATGATAAGAACATGCATGTGAGGATTTCATAAAAATAAACTTCAAAACTCCATGGTATGGACATGCATGCATGAATTAACTTAGCTCCCTTGAATTCAAGCTCAATTCTCCCATTAATTCACCTATTTATTTTATATGCAAGTCCTAGATGGCTCAATTACAAGATTAAAGGTTGAGCTCTTACCT